GCTCCTATTTCAATATACAAACATTAAAAAATGGCTAATAGCTACTAGAAAGGGGAAAGAAGTTCAGGGGTTTCCCACATATTTGCCAAGGGTTCTTTCCAAGGGTGACTTGAGAGAGCAATTTTTTTTTTTTTTTGGTTTGTCAAGACAGGGTTTCTCTGTAGCTTTGGAACTGTCCTGGAACTCACTCTTGTAGACCAGGCTGGCCTCGAACTCACAAGAGATCCGCCTGCCTCTGCCATCGGAGTGCTGGGATTAAAGGCATGCGCCACCACCACCCAGCTGAGACAGCATTTTTTTTTGTTTTCTTTATTTATTATGTGTACAGTGTTCTGTCTGCATGTACACCTGCAGGCCAGAAGAGGGCATTACAGATGGTGTGAGCCACCAAGTGGTGGTGGGAACTGAACTCAGGACCTCGTAGCCATCTCTCCACCCTGAGCTCTTCTGACCAGTGCAATAAGCATAGTTCCTAAAGTCAGAACACGAAAGTTACATGAAAGGCTGAAAAAAAAGAAGCCCCAGTACCCTATTTTGTGTTACTGATGTCACCTTCAGTTATCAGACATGACATTAGAGCCAGTGTTTAGGAAATACTAATCTACGTACTGTGGAAGTTTTAGAAGAGAATAAAGCAGATCATTTATTCATGATTTTATCTAAGAAATCAAGTTTCAATTCTTCTCTATAAATAAAAGCTACTTTTTAAGCTATTTCTCAGTTTCCAAGGAAACTGGTATAAAATTTTCTGAAATATAGAAATTAAAAGCAAACTTTCAATGTGTTTATATATATTTGGTATTTTCAGTCGAATGCAGCACTAAGGATCAAGCCAAGGGGTCTGTACTTATTGCGCAAGTACATATCATACCATAAAGTAGTCCTCCAGACCTAAAAATGTTTAGAAGAAACACTGGAATGTTAATGGGAATATTAATAAACTCAAATTCTATGCTCGCATTTTTTTTCAATATTTCTGACTTAGCATTCCTTATCATATAGGTCTATGTTCACACACCTCTCACCAGTCACTCTTAACGTCAGCATCCTCAGCTTCACCCATGGTTACCAGAACATCCCATTTACATAAGCAGTGAATTCAGGCCACATCCTTACCTCTCCCTTCACTCACTCTCACTGAAAAGAACACATATGAGTTCTCCAGCAAACGCTGCCTTTCCATCAGTTACTTGTACTGTAACTAAGACAGGGAAGGACGGAGCTCTACTATACAGACCCATTCTCAAGAGTTCAACCCAGCACATCCGCCACACCTCCACACTAGTCTTGAGAACAGTTCCACACAGAAGCAGCTTCAGTCCGATCTTAACTCTACGTCCTCATCAGCAGTACTGAGAATGCAGACAGACTTCCTTTGTATTGCGGGGGGACAAATGAGCACACATGAAATTGTGTTGTAATCCCTCAAGAATTATAAAAAGGTCCTATTTGGATTCTCACCCAACACTACCCACATTCTAACTGGTTTGTAAACCCAGAGGCTTCCCTTAAAACAGAACAGTTTTCATAAACACACACACAGAGGCATGCAAGCAGCACACTGTTTAAGGATACAATTATTTTTGCATTCTTTTATAATATTTAAATATTACAAAAAGTTACAAAAGTGTATCGATCATGGGCCTTAAGTTTATTTTAACATGAAGACACCAACGGTCCAGCTAAAGTTTAAAGAAGGTTATAAAAGGAAATCATTTGTAGCATTTAAGTGAAACAAACAGGTCAATCTGGCTTAAACACTTGATGATACTTTGTCTTAAAGTCTGTAGCCTTCAAGAACCATCTTGTTATCCCGTATTACTTCTCTCTAGACTCACAGGTTTTCAAGTTTTTAATTATAAAGCTTCAAGCACTTCCGCTTCTCCCTCTTACCCACCCAGCCCACCCTCCAGCGGTTCAGGATGCTGAACTGGTCTTTTACTTCAACATGCTCAGCGCTGAATAAAATTCTCCAGGCAGGGAGGTATGGAGGGAAAGGAGCCATGGGAATAAACAGTTCAAGCACCTGAGTGCTTCACCCTCACTCCCAAACCTTTACATTACTAATTCAAGGCTAAATTTTAGCTTTAGACTCCTTTGAAACGTCTGACCAACAATCTCTTCCCAACCCTCTTCCTTTGGAAGAGATAAAGTAAATGAAACTTTTAAAGTGGCGATGTATTTATCAAAACGAGAACTTTAAAGTGAGCAGAAGTCCGAGGGTAAACTTGAGCGTGTTGCAGGGGGGCGGGGGTGGGGGCGGACGGACGGACGGACGGACGGGACTTAAACGTAGCCCTGGAAGAGAACATTGGCATCTTTCACAAAAGCCCCTTTCCCAATCTCCTTTCTTTCTGTGCTCCAATAAAAACCACCTATATTGAAGATACTTTTAAAATCCTATTAATATCAAACACATTTCTGTGGCAACCTCTACTTCAACCTAAGTAAGAAATCCTCAAATAGGTTGACTCTGTACTGCTTTAAAATCAGTTACCTAACTGGTTCCAGGGAGGAGGAACCATTAGGTTCTTACCTTAGGTACCATGTGGTTAAATAAGGACGGGGAGATAGGATGGCTACGCCGAGGTTAAGGTCCTGGGAGTTTTATTAGGAAAAGGGGCACTTACATACAGGCACACGAAGTCTTGATAAAGTCCCACTGGACAGTGCCCAGCATTACAAAGAGGGAGTGGAGGGGGCTGCAGGGTCCCAGGTCGGGATGAGAACAAGAACTGGGCGTAGGGGTGGGAGAGAAAACCGGCCAGCCGCGGCCCCAGGAAGAATAAGGGGTGGAGACGCGAGCCACACACAGCCTTCACCCCCCGGTGCCCAGGCCCGCGCCAGCCTACTCCGGGCAGTGAGGAACCCGAGGCGGCGGCCGCCTCCCACCTCCCTGCGGGACCCCGGGAGAAGGTGGAGGCCAGGGGTACGCCGCGGCCGGGACGCGCACGCTGCCCCCTCACCTTCGGGCATCTCTCGGTCGCTGATGTGCTGCAGGTGGTGCCCCTCGCCGGCTCCGAAATCCAACTCGGAGGGCTCCACGGCCGCAGCGGGCGTCGGCGCTACCGCCACCGCGTCCCCGGCCGCCGCCGCGTAGGTCTCGGACTCGTAGTCGGGCTCCGCCGGCCCCGCACGCCAGCCCAGCTTGGGGCTGGCATTGGGGGACACGCAACAGGTCAGCGTGTTCCCCATGGGGCGCGTCCGCTCCGCTCCGCTCCGCTCGGCCGCTGCCTGCGCCTCCGCTCGCCCCGGACGCCGCTCCCGCCCCCTCCCCCAACAATGGCGCGGTCGGCGCCGGCAGCCCCGGGCTGAGCGGGGCTGCGCCCGCCCGCACTCGCCGCCGCGCCCGCTGCGCGCCCGCCCGCCGGCCCCGCCGCCCGGCCCGGGGCAGGGCTCCGGCCTCGGCCGCACCCCCGCCGGCTCGCCGCCGCCGCCGCCTCCCCACAGCGGACTAGTCTGCGAGGGCGGCGACCAGCCCGGCTTATTTAAAAGGGGTGGGGACCCGACAAGCGCTGGGAGACGCAGCCACTGCGGGCCGAGAGCGCGGCCGGAGCTCCTCCTCCTTCCGTCGCCGCCTCCAGACTGAAGGCCGCTAGCCGGCTCCTGCCAACCGGAACGCGCCCCGCGGTCACCTGGTGACGGGCGGCCAATCAGACCCAGACTTCCCTCCACGCGCCCGCCTACGGCCCAGGCACGTGACTCGCGAAGCCCCGCCCCGGCCCTCAAGCCGCGCCGCGCGGACTCGGGTTTGCCTCCGTCGTGGGCAGCTTGGAGCCGGGGTCCTGGGCCTGAGCTGCGGCAGGTCGCTCCTCGAGGCCGCGCTTGGTAGAGAGCTGGTTCTGTCAGCAGCGGGGCTTCTCCATGTCTGACAGCTTTCCCTTGCTTACCCAAGTAAGTTGCACCGGACTTGGCCGGTTGTAGACAGCGAGATGCTCCCGTCTTCCCAGTGTTACGTTTTCGCTTGCAGCTTAACCATAGCAACTCCGGGGCTCTCGTCTCACTCTCAATAAAGAGTAGTGACTGTGCCTTGCACGAGGCCCGAGGACACGTCACCCTTCAACTTCCTCGTACGTAAAAATAAGGACTAAACTCGTCCCTCCCTGCTCAAAGAACGTGGGAGCCAGCAGCTCACACGCCGCCTGTTTTCTCCTATCTCCAGAGAGGCGTTTCCAGATTTTCTTTCTTTAACTAGCAATGCCGAGAGCAGTTTTCTCCTACAAAATTGAAAACCACGCGGTGGGGTACCTACAGTCCTAATTCATGGGGATGGTAGAGAATAATTAACATTTAGCAAGCGTCATGTACTGGTCACCATGCCAACGGAGTTCCCTGACTCTAAAGCAATCCAATGTTACATCTCCCAGATTTTACCGAGGTTGGGGGAGGTGGGCGTGCGAGATGCAGAAATTAAGTAACTTCCCCAAGGTTACATAACTGCTCAGGCAGAAGCCAAAATAGGCTGGATTCGGGTGATCTGCCTCCTTACACACACCGTAATGTGATTGTCTCACAGTACCAGTAGAAGGAAGTCACACTTGGGGAAGGTGACGGAGACCTGGTATTTGGTGGTGTTTAAGGAAGAGTAATCGTTTCACGTGCGTTTTTAAATGCTTGCTCTAATTGAACCTTCAAATTCATTCTCTGTTCCAGGAGTCCAGACTCCCAGTGCATTGAGGCAAAAGAGAGAAGCAAACATTTGGAGAATCTAGCTGTCTGAACTTGGGGTACAAACACATCTCTATGGTGCCAAAGCCGGTGGTGTCAAGAGTTTGAGTTTTATACTGGAAATATTTGTTGAACTCTCACATGAAATTGAAAAGTCACGATCAGATAGATTCGTGACTAGGTCACGCTGGCCAATAAGAAGGAAGAGAATTAAGGACCGTTTAAGGATCATATTCCTTAGGTAAGGGAGGGAAAGACAGTTCCAGCCAAGGGCCATGGTGACTGAATGGGGACAAAGAACTTGTTTATGAGGTGAAATAGGAAGTACTTAGCTATTGGATATAGAGGGAGAACAAAAGGAAAAGGGAAAAAAAAAGATGTCTAAGGTTCTGATTAAGGGGACTGGGCAGATTTTGATGCTCACCCTTCTCCCAGACAGTTAATGGAGGAAGAATAAGGCTGGAGAAAAAAATAGTTTTTGACCTTAAGCGATGTGTGGAAATGAATGTCTGGAAGTTGAATGTGAACCTCTGTAAGTTGCTCCATCTTGTGATAGCCCAACTTTTAACTCTTTCAAAAATAGCACTTTCACTAAAACAAAAAGAGAGTAATTGGGGGAAGTTTTCCTACAGTTTACATTCTAAGACTGCTTCTTTGATTTACTGGTTACTTCTGTGGAACCACTTGGAATCTATGGTGTTAGTGTGCGAGTAAGGTAAAACTGTTCAAAACACAACAGTGGAAGCTGTATTAAAATCAGAGAGTAGAGGAAGTAATTGAAGTTGTGGTTACCTTAAGATGTCTGTTAAAAGGGAGGTCTCATATGGGAGTGAAGGAAGGAAACTTGGAGAATAAGGAGTTAAGTGGTGGTAAGGAAGGGCTGCTAAGATGAGCTGTAGCTGATTGTGTAGATCTCATCCTAGAGTACCTTCATGGACAGAGTGCTCTGCTGCCATTGGCTGTGGAGCGGGGTGGCTGCTGAGGAGCGGGGTGGCTGCTGAGGAGCGGGGTGGCTGCTGAGGAGCGGGGTGGCTGCTGAGGAGGGGGGTGGCTAGCGGCCGTATGTGCAGGTTAGATGGTGACAAGTGGATAGATGAGAAAGTGTATCACTTGCTTTTCTTGTTCCTGACAGAAGCAACTGAAGATTTATTTTGGCTCACACTTTACAGAGTCCAGTGTGTCAGGGTGGGGAAGGTATGGTGGCAGGAGCTCACAGCCTGCTTCTAATCACAATCTAGTAGTGATCAGGGGCAGAGCATTTGGGGGAAACCAGAAGGGTTTCGCTTTCAGGGCCCATCCCCAACAAGCCGCATGTTAGCTAGAGGTACAGCAAAGGTTCTACCAGCTGGGGACCAAGGGGTTAGACACTGGAGCTTACAAAGAACATTCCACATGGAAACCACACAGAGAATGAGGCGAGGCTGGACGGGTTGTATAGCCAGACCACCGTATCTGGGTTAGGTGAGCCGGGGAAGCAGAAGCGGGGGTGGGGCTTGGGAGACCTGTGTGACATGGAGACAGAGTTTGGGGAAAGTTCACTTTGTGGCTCCTGTCTTCCTGTAGGTTTCAGTTGGGAAATAACTGTGGAAACAAGGAAGTATGTGTAGATGTCTACAGCTCCCAGAAATCATGTTATACTTCATGAAAAACAAAAACCACTTATATGGGCTACAGTCATCTGAGAGGAGGGAACATCAGTTAAGAAAGGGCCTCCATGAGATCAGGCTGTGGGCAGACCTGCAAGGCATTTTCTTAGTGATTGATGGGGGAGGACCCAGCCTGTTGTGGGTGGTGCCATCCTGGGTTGATGGTCCTGACTTCTATGAGAAAGCAGGCTGAGCAAGCCAGAATGAGCAGGTCAGTAAGCAGCACTCCTCCATGGCCTCTCCATCAGCTCCAGCCTCTAAGTTCCTGCCCTGTTTGAGCTCTGTCCTGACTTCCTTCAGTGATGAACAGTGATCTGGAAGTGTAAGCCAAACAAACCCTTTCCTCCCAAATTGTTTTCATTCATGGTGTTTCAGCACAGCAATAGGAGCCCTAGTTAAGACACCAGCGCTCCTCACCTCCCTTTACCACACGTAGAGGAAGCTGAAGTCCTTGTCTAAATAGCACAGTATTTACATATAACCTACTTGTGTATTCAAATACATTCTCTCCTGTATTTCAGATCACCTCTAACACCTGATGTAATGTCGGTGCCGTATAGATAGGTGCAGTATGGTGATATTTATAGAGTAATGACAAGAAAAAATGTACGTGCTTGGTAGAGATGCAAGTTATTTAAAATGTTTTCAGTTCACCGCTCACTGAAGCCACGGATGTTGGAGCACTGATGCCACTTCCCTCCAATGTGGGCGAATTGAAGGAGTCTGAGCAAAATCCGTGGAGCCCAACTCTAAACAGGTACATCACAAAAGAGGAAGGTGGCATTAGTTACTCTTTCCAAGAAGTTAAAAGAAATAGCAACATTTTAGGAAGAGTAAGCAGAAATTAAGGAAATACAATATATTTGTTATAAAAAAAAAAGTATGGGCATTTGCAAACCCTCTAGCCACATGTAAGACCACAAAAAGGACCCAAGGGAGTATTAGTCTTTAAACTGGAAGAAGAGGTTACCTCAAAAGTCAAGAGAGCAGAGGAGATTAATTTTTAATTTAATTCTGTTTAAAGCGTTTAGTTAAGTATTGATGACAAAAAAAAAAAAGAAAAGAAAAAAGAAGAAGAAAACATTAACACGTGAGAAACCACGGTGGAATGTGAGTATTCATGCGGCCTCACTTCCGTAACCAATGTCTAGTTAATCCTGAAGACCTAGTGATTGTGCGAAAATCCTGTTGGAAATTCCAGAAATATCACTGCATACCATTCTATATGTCCTCTGTTGACTTAAGGAAATGTCTAAGATCAGATTACAAGAGAGTGCCCGCACATAACAATAGACTACACAAACAGATATGCAGGATGCAGAAAATTAAATAATTAAAAACATAATAAAAAATATTGTAAGCCATTGTTTTGAAAATATTTAACTTTCAAGGAATAGTAGAAAACATGTTTTTAAAAATTATCCATCTTTCTGGAAGGTGATATACAAATAACAAAATAGTAATTCTGTGGTAATTATTAAGTGAGAACTTGAGGCTTTGTTTATATATGAGTCTAGTATATTCGGTGATGGGTCTTCATGGATTACCTGCTCAGTTGAGGAGACAGTCTCTAGCCATTGTGTCTTTATTCCATGTAGCTTAAAGAAAGGAAGAAGACAGGAGATTGTTCAGAACACCCATATAGCTTAGTATTTCTGTATCATTGGTTTAATCTTTCTTCCTGTTAAGGTGTTTGTGTCAAATGTTCTATCAAAGCAATGAAGTATGACATCCTCATAGGGTAGGATTCTGTGGAGCAGTGATATGTGCATATATATTTTTTTGAGTAGAGAATCTACAGTTACTGTCATATTCAAAGTCTGTAAACAAAGTTTTAAAGAATTATTATAACACCTGGCATGATGTACATCAACTTGACTTCTCTTATTCTTAAATTCAAACAATCATAATCTGGTTTTTTAGTAATTCAGACATTTGCTGGTACTGGTAGGCACATCTTAATAAACCGTCTCTGCATTCGTCAACTATTCTCCCGGCTTCTTTCCTTTCATAGTACATGGGATGAGAATGCTAATTTATTTGAAACGGTGCTCTGAAAAAGACTGTCAGTTCATCCCGTCAGGACGGCCTCTTTCCCCAAATGTCCTCTGTGATAGAG